ATTTGGAAGCTTAAAGAGCACCTCGGGATATTTCTGTGGGTGGTCAGCAGTGATCCCTAGCTCAATTGTATCTTTGTCGGCGTGCCTTGATCAAATTGTAATATGTCGTAAGATTCTTGGACTGTAAAACACTCCCCAGATCGTCTTTCTGGGCGGAGACTGTATCCAAGAGACTGGCCACGAGGCCAAAGACTCCAAACGGGCCAAGAGAAGCAAACATGATGAACGGGTATACGCGTATGAACGAAGGCCAATTGATCTCGTGGAACACCCGAGAGTCGGGCGAGGAATGATGTTGCTTGTCGGAGCCTGTAGATGGATGTTCTGATGTTTGGGATGACAGAGCCGTCTACTCGCCTTCTGACGTATCGTATGTCTGTCTCGCTCTCTGGAGTTTCTTCCCCCAATAAGGTGTTGTCGGATAGTCACTGAACCTGGGAAGTGGATAAGGTGTCAGCGGCACCCGAGTCTGAGGCAACAACAACACAGCAGCAGCATCAGCAGCGACAACAGCAATGATAATGGCAACTGTCAACAGCAGTGTCGGAATGAATCACAGGTGAGGTCGTGAGAGAAGGAACGGCCCCTTAAAGAGTTGACCAACGGCGACTGCCCACCATGCACCCTGCAGGAGCAGCTAGCTGGCCCCTGGGTCCCTGGGAAGGATCTTCTGCATCGAGCTGGGGTAAGGTGACACCGCCAAAAGCTGCTGTGTTGATGCAGACTACAGCCACAAGGTGTGAGAGCTCCCTGGTTATCGAAGTTGGGTGGTTCTAGGGCGGCAGTGAAATTGGTGTCTCGACAGCCGTACGATCGTGATACATGTCCCAATAAAGGCTGCATCTGGCAGTCAGCACGGGATCCGGGGATTGATTCTTCATCCTTTTGAGTATCTATCTCATCATTTCACCAGGAGGACTTCCTCCCTCTAGGATGGTCGGAAATAATGAGACTAGAGAGAGGCATCCTGCCCGAAATCAGGCACCGGCACCGAGTCTGACCAAGATCTGCTTGCCGCTGGCATCAACAACCAACAATCTGCCGAACCACAGGCGGCACCCTCCCTTGCCGTCAGCAAGGCACAACACACTCGACTTGGTATCGCTCGAGATAGCGGACGGAAGCCGGCAACATGGACATGGGGGCCGCCCAGCCTACCACACAGGGGCAAGAGAGACATCCATGTCGTGCGAGGTTGCCATGCATGGCAAAGTGACAAGACAGGAAGAAGCAAGTGTCGCCAAGTGGGTATCTACCGCTTTCGCATGCTTTGAGGCGATCAGAAGCCACCACGCAGATATGCCACGATTCCAGCCCCTCTCTGAGACGAATGTCACCAGAGGTCGGGGAAAACGTGTGTTTGGATCGGGAGGTATGCTCCTGATGGCTTTGGGGCTGTTATGAAGCTGGGGACGGGAAAGAAAGTTGGGCTTGGGTGTCTCTCCCTTCCACACGGTTCAAGACACGAAGAAACCTAATTCTGGTACAGCCAGCCCTCGTGACTTTCGGGCTCGCGGTGTCTCGGTAGTCGCCAAGCCTCAGCCTCGAATTAAATCGAGATGAAGTGTTAGACACACGAAACGCCATGAGGTTGGAATCCGAATAGCTTATCGTGTTGCATTCTGTATGTGCGTCTGTGACGAACTTCAGACGCGCAAAGAGCCCCAGCAGACCCAACAATCCTTTCACCGAAGTGATACGGGATTCCTGGCCATAAGAATTCCAAGACAATGCCCGACCAAGTCCCATATCCAAAAGACCGAGATTGACAAGGAGGCTAGCGCAAGCCAACCAAGGTCTGGTCGTCCGACACGAGGTGTGCTGCATGAGCCGCAGGAAGCAACAACCAACGAGATTGGAAGGCTTTGACATGAGCGGCCGCTACAGAAGCACCCAGCAAGCCCAGGCGAATCCTCAAGGTCGGTTTTTTGGGGACACGAGCTGCATTCCAGGCCCCTCAGCACGCCCGAACATCCCCTGCCCAGCCTTACAGGGATCATGCCACGTCCCACTGAATGGCAGGGCCAGCAGCGCAAATGTCAGCTGGGTACCACTTCACAATCTCTCAACGATATTATTGACCTGTCAACGATAACTGCTGCTTACCCGCCGTGAATGCGCGGACCGAAGACGCCATAATGCAAAGAGATAACTAGAAATGAGAAGGCTGGTTCGGAAAGGGGTTCCGGCTCCCTCCCGGTCGCAGAGCCTCTTGGTGCAAGCCCGGCATCGCGCCAGGACGGTGCTCGAGCCGGCGCTATCAATCGAGGGATGTCTCAAGGGATCATCTGAAGATGGCAAGCGTGTGTTCGTGGCTGTTGGTGAGGAATGAGAAGTAGAGTTCCCGCGTGGCGCCTGTTAAGGTTATTTCAAAATTCCTGGGAGTATGGAGCTTAAAATCAGTTGCGGGTTGCGATAACCTTAAAGCATTCCGCGAGTTTATCGGCGGGTTAGCCCGGGGCACCTTCCTGGCGCTGGCCCCGCTCCGCCGATGCTCCGTGTCCGGTCATGCCGCCACCGCCGGCCGTCCGAACAGTAGTCTCGGAACATGTTCGTCAGATCTTGCCTGGACAACGTGTCACAGAACTTCTTCAATGCAATGTGCTGCTAGGCAAAGCTCACAAAATAGCCTAGATGCGCCCTATTAATTGAACTTCAAGATCACGGCTGAAGCTGTAGTTGGCCGAAGTAAACACCTGTCTTCTTTCCAGTTATGTGAATATTTCAATATGCGAGAACGTTCACGACGCCAAGAGACGGCAAAAGTAGCAATAACACTGCGGTAAAGTCAACAGTTACATAGCAGGACGCGGGCAATAGAGACGCGGGGAGTTCAGGCGCTATATATCAGCCAAAATTAGAGGTCTAAAGATGAACTGCATGCCTTATATAACTGCTAACTACGTGTATAAATACAGGCATTTGCATCGCGTCTGCTTCCAAACAAACCCTTTGTTTATGCGTGGTCAATCGGCGATGGGCCAGCATCAATTGGGTAAGTGAAGATGTAGTTTGGCCCATCCGCCATCAGCCCATTTGCACCGGGCCTCATCTGGGAAGCCGGAAGCCACAAGTTCTTGTCCGCGTCAACCCACATCAGATCGGTCCAGATCAAGGCATCATCCTGAACGAGAATCGAAGACGATCCGTCGGGCTGGACCTTCCAGATAGCAAGCAGGTTGGTGTCGCTGACGTATATGTTGCCGTCTCCATCAATAGTAGTGCCTCCGGTGCTGGGCGTGAGCGCGAAAGGAATCGCGTAGTCTCCCAGGTTCTCCGCGAGAGTGCTGTTCGTCAAGGCGCCGTCGACGTACTGCGTCTCGATGCGGTACATGCCTCCGTTGCAAGGTTGATAGTAGAGATAGACACCATCGGGGGACACTTCGATCTGGTCAAGACCCACGGAGAGCGTGCTGTCGCCCCCCTGGTATCCTGGAACGAGACTACCATTGTAGGCCATTGGGAACCATGCCACGGCAGAGCTGTGGCCCACAAGAACACGCTTGCCTTCGCCAGTGGTAAGATCCATGACAACGAGCGCGCCAGCTGTATCGCTGAGGTACGCAACATTCCCGTTGAAACGAACGTCATCGATGACGCTGCCAGTCTCGGTGAGATTGTCCAGGTAGTAGACCTTGTCGACGGCGTTGGTGGTGAGGTTCACACCAGCAAGCTTGCTAGATCCGCTGACAAGCTTGCCATCGCTGTCGGTGGTGCCTCCGTCGACGACCCAGAATCGTCCGTCGGGTCCGATGCGGGCGCCGTCGATGCTGACGAAGGCCTTCTTGGGATCCAAAGTCGAGTTGGACGTCCATGAGTTCCAGGTGGAATCGGGGTAAAGGACGGTTGTGCCATTGTTGAGAAGCTCAACGGCTTGAGGGGCATCCGTGGTGGAATATCTTTGCGTCAAGAACTTGCGGCCGTCGGAGGAGATGCTGATACCCTGGGTTGCTCGGTCGAGGGTGAGGGCGATGGTGAGTCCGTCGGCCAGGGCTGCTGCTAGGTGGCTCGAAGAAGCCAATGTGGCCAGGGAAAGACGAGAAATTCTCATGGTAACGACCGTAGATTGATCAAAGAGCGTGTGAACAACGAGATGGTGAATCTGATTTGTCTGTGTTAAAGGCAGTCAAGAACCGCCAAGCTGTCACTTATATACATCCACAACAGGCCTCCCGGCCTCTTTGGATAAACATAACACCATCTGATTTTTCACTCATGATGACGACGTTCGCGATATCAACTGAGCTGATTGATAATCAGCAGTCGGTGTCCGCGTGGATTGCGTGAGGGTTGATCCGCATAGGTCACGATAAATTAAAGTGATGCTCGGAAGAGCCCCGCTATCGCGGGGTGGAAACGTTCGGACCGGGCCCGCGGACTAGGCCGGGCCTTAGGATAGGAGATCAGCAGACTAAGCCATACTGCGGGAGAACAAGCAAGCGACTTTCCGCATCCGTGATAGGTCCAATTCAATGATCGGTAAGTTAGCCCTGGTCTTAAAAGTGCTCGATGCGGGGCAATCGCGAGTTCTCGATCTGAACGAAGGGGGCCCCAACTCAAATGCCAAGTGGGACGATCCCAATGCCGAGGCCTTGAGGCCACATGATCGGATCCGAACGGACGGACCACGCCACAGCAATGTTAATGCGACTCAGGTCATTGAAGACTTACTGGTCGACGAATACACAAAACTGGACACGAGAATATCGCTTGATTTGGGGAGGCCTGGGCAGCGTAAGCTTGGCGGCGGTCTTTTGTCCCTAGGACGACCTTCGGAAACATCATCAGTCAGAGTCAAGATTGCTCGAATGACCCTGCTGTGCAGTCCTGTTCCATGTTTCAAGAGTCTGTTGGGCAAACAGAGGTCAGTCACTCATGTGAGCTCAACAGATGAATGCAGCAGTAGTCCAATTGATTGATTCACTTATAATCCCATGAGTGTCAATGATGCATACCCCTTGCAGCCCACCTTGCCATTAACAGCTAATGGTGCGCAACCCCTATATTTGCAAGCTCTCTATCCCCGAAGCCTGGATCCAACTCATAATATCTTCATGTTTCGTCGAGCGAGAATCCGGTTTCGTGTTTTTCCCGGTCCCTTTGCCGATCTCCCCAAAAGACGCCGGATGGACCACGTTCTCACTCAGGTCAAGCACCTGAATAGCCGTCGCACGCGAGGAGATGCCGCCCTCGTCCAGCATACGACTCTCACGTACAACAAGCTCGTTCACTGTATGCAACTCCGCCACCGCCCTCCAAGCGTCGACAAGCCGCCGCTGAAGCTGCAGCTCCCACGTCCCGTGCCACCGGATCGATGTGCCTGACTCCGAGACGGCGTAGCGGAACAAGGCCGCCGTGCGGAAACCGCCGTACCAGATCTCCATCCTCTGCAGCCTGGGCATCTGGAGCGCGGCGCCGGCGGCGTTGGCGAGCATGTTCGTGGCCCTGAGATGGCAGGCGTCCTCGGCCAGCAGCTCGGATGTCAGGGTCAAGGACGTGAGGTTCTCCCAGACCCAGTCGGACTGCGTCTTGCGGAAAAAGTCGTTCGCCTCGATGATGTACGACGCGGACAGCTTCTCGAGGAAGAGACTTATCAGTCCCAGCGATTCGCCGACGACTCTCCTCGGGTGGCGGCGTAAAGGCTGTGACCACGGTCTTTGGGATGTCGGGTTGATGTCCTCAAATATCGATAGAGACTTGATGTTTTGGTCGCGCAAATCGCTCGCGTCTAGCTGCGGAAAAAATGATTCGAAGTATACTGAATCTAGGTGCTTGTGAGAACTCGATGCGACAGAGAACATAAGGATGCCACCATACTCACCTCCGTCTTGTACGAACCAGTATTGGCTGCCTTGAGCTTCAAGGTCATCATAGGAGCGGCATGGTTCGAAAGCTGCGTCGAGGTCAGAGTGCTCAGCGTATCGTTTGTTCTCCGTGATCCCAGGACCTTCACGCATTTTCTCCACGATGATACCAGAATATGATGATGTTGTTGAAGTAAAGGATTGTGAGATGCCTCTCGACAGGGTCATCAAGTATCAGCCAGGGCTCGTTCACGCCCGGATCTTGCTTTGGCCTTCATCCCAAGCTCGGAGGCTTCATCCAAAGGCCTTGACCCTTCGAGATCCATAACGTCGAAGGCGAAATGTGTTCCATCATGCCAAACGGTGTTCTGCCGCTGTCAGAAACTCCCTAGAAACTGTAGCCTACCTGATAAATCTCATGATCATAGGTACGTAGTCTTCCAAGTCCAACGCTTCATTGTCAGTTAGGTCCATTGGTACCTTTTTGAATGACCGCGTCGCGTCGCGGCTCACCCCTGCCTCACACCTTGCGGATGGAAAGAAACTGCGCTCGATGAATCTCTATCAGGACTCAACAAAAGTTTAAGAAGACGACAGAGAAACAGCTGACGTGTGGTCGGGCAGAACTGACGGAAACGAGGGCCGAGCCAAGACGGATCCGAGCGGAGGCCATGAACCGGGCGTGCGTAGAAGGGCCAAGACCCCGTGCCGCTCGCTCTAGGTTCCCATTACCCCCATTCTTTGACCATCATCGCCATCTGGCCCCCACGAGGCTACATAGCCGCCGTCAAACCCACAAAGCCAGGCGTGCGAGCTTACTGCCAGATCGGGCAAGAAAAGTTGAGGCCCTCTTTTGCGTATTCTAGAACAGGGGGGCAGCGGCGCCGCCCATTCGGTGAAACATGCCAACCGCCAAAGGATACCCCCACTCTCCCCGTTCACAGCCTCTAGAATACATCGCACCGGCGGTATCCAAGCTGGCCCTGCATAGCTGAAGCGTGGCTTCGCCCGCGCGGGGCGCTGATTCACCCCCAGGGAAAACCCGCCCAAGGCCCGTAAGCTGACCTCAGTCTTGGCCAAATTCATTCCCGCGCGGCGATGCAGATCGATGCCGCTGCCGTTACACCAAATCCAGGCAATACGGAGTAAGTCATCATTGCCTGATTAAGTAGCCCTGCGAAAAGGGGTGGTTTCACCCAATCATGATGTCCCTGGCATCTCAAAGAAGAAGGATGTGTTTGTGTACTGCGCTTCGCTGTATTGAGATCTATGACTATCTTGATGAAATACTGAAACTTGCAAGGAAAAAGTAGAAAGTGAAAGACAGAATGCATGCTATGCTAAGTTAGGCCGTGAAACATATGTTGCTCTCCTCGCAGAGATGTAATCTAGGATGAATGCGTACGGACTGGTACCAGGCGGTGTATCGTAACTGCTGAAAGACACGAGAAAGGAAAACATGCAAGGGGGCCAAGACAAAGGATAAGGGAAAATGCTGTCGTCGGCTCATCACAACCTCTTTGCCCATATGTTGTCGCTGGTGTAGAGACGGTGCTCGAGTCCGTGGTGCATTAGGAAAAATAGCGAGGCTTCTTGGCTCCAAGTCGACGTGAAGTAATACCGCATCGGCGACTTCGGCGTGCTCTCTGGTTGAAGCGCCTAGCCAGGAACTGCCGACGACGCCCCTAGGGTCATCCTTACGTTCGAGATGGCCGGCCGAAAAGGACATACGTCCTCATCATCAAGGACTGTTCGGAGGTGTAATCGGCCCCGGCGGTTGTGGACGCGGACCACCCCTGGGACCACCTGGCGGGGACGGAGGCGGATCGCCATACATGTTGATCATGTTGAACATGTTGAACGGAGACTTGAAGTCAAAGTTGTCCGGACAACTTCTGTTGAGGATTGTCTCGGGAAGTTCCTCCAGTGGTGGCGCTTGGGTTTTGTCCAAACTGGAAGTCTATGAGACTTGAGGGTGTAGTTTGAATGACGGAGAGGACGAATACGGGAATTTTGAAGCAGCTACTTGAGGAAGCTAGCCGATGATGTTTGATGTGTGAGCTGGTACAATCCTGCCATCTGAGACATTTGTGACCAGCTGAGAGAGGGCTCATATATACTCCGAAAGGCATCTTATACGAGGCTCTGCCACGACTAGAGACGAACGAAGACACAGTTCGCAGAACAGTACGCAGAACAGTCCAAGCATGCTGGTAGGCAAGCAACGATGCCGCCATGTCACAGAGCCACGGCACCCCCTTCAACACCTCAACGGCAGCTTGCACGAAGGTTAGATTACTGCCTGTGTAACCCTCTTCCGCCCAGGACCGCGTGACGGGGGTGTGCCTGAAGGGCAGGGGTCATGGCTTTCCAGAGTAAATTAGGACATGCGCCAGCCTCCCAAGAGTTGGGAATGGCCAATCAGACTTCTGAACAGGCTTCCGAACGGGCGGATAGGTTCGCGGGATGCACGTCTCCCCGCGGAACAGGAAATCTAGGCAAACATGGAAACAGATGGACAGCCTTTTCTTGGAAACTTCTCCTGGGAAAGAAGGTGGGTGTGAGATGAGACGTGCCTAAGAGAAGACACATGTCGTCTCAAGGTACCCGGGACCCGCAAGTCGGACGTATGGGTTGCAAACAGCACCAGGAAAAGGATGGGTGTATGCCTCGTTGAAAGCCGACATCGTGTAACCAATCAACTGCGCGAAGCTTCTCTTCCAGCATCGATGTCACCGCCGTGTCCCTCCAAATCAACACTTGTCGATTGGGTCATTACATGGGAGGCGAACATGATGATGAAGCTCTGCTTGAGCATCATCTTGTCGAAGACACTGCCATCCCGCGTCATGCCGAAAGGGTGGTAAGAGTCCCGCCGAGATGGTCCGTCATGTGAGTGTCCAAGTCCGTCGACTTTTGCGAATCGTGAGCGTTTTCGGGTCCGGCCGAATGGCTCGGTCAGGACACGTACATTAGGGGGACGGATGGGAGGGTGTCCAGCAGTCGGGAGATGGCCCCCAAAAGGGAGGCTTGGGAGCGAGAAACGAGGGACTGGTGCTCAGCCTGAGCTAGTATTTGGATAGCTCGCTTGCTTTTTGACCAATCTGGAGTTAGAGAAGTGCTTTCAAATCCAGGAAGGGGTAAATTAGGAACGTGGACATGCCCCTGCTTACGCAAGAACCAAATGACGGTAGCGAGGGTCGAATGGGGAGAGGCCCAGAAAGTCCCCAAGGCGTCAGCAAGAATCAACCCCGAACAACGCAGTGTTTGCACATTGCGGCTTAGCGTCGAGCCGAAGGGGCGGATTCGCATCGCTCACACACACTCACATCCCACGCTCTCCCGCCCACTCATCCGGGGCAACGCACGCGGGTGTCGCAAGGCCATAGGGCTGAAGGATTCGAGACTTTTGGAGCATGTCGAACGACGTCGCACAATGCGCCTTGAGAAGTGCTGGGTCAATTCCGAACGAGCAATCTGCGGTTGCGGTGCTCGCGTTTCAGGTAACCAGCAAAGCCGCTCTATCAGCCACGAGATGGCTTGTCTGTATCGTTGTTTTTTCTGTTGTGAGGACGCTGTTCAATTCAGTTCAGCTCAGCTTTCTTGCCTTGGCAATGTGGGGGGTTCGACCGGGGGAGGGTCAGGATCGCAAGGCATTCTGGACGACAGCCTCAGAACAGCGGAGTTCCTCCATCTGTGCCGCAAGACTCGACCTGGCATCTGTCGAAGTGTGGGTTGGTTCGCAGAAACCATGCCGTCAGACTTTCAAAACCAAGTTTGTTGACTCAGAAAGCATCTCTTTGCCCGAGACACGATCATCGACTGTCAAATCCGGAGAAAAAGTCGGCCGCCCCGGGCTTAAACCCCCTGCTGCATATTCGAGGTCTTTCGTTGCTGAGCACCTACAAACGGTCTGTCGCGACGGTGGCAGCACCATAGTTAATCGCAGGACAAGGGTCGACCAACAGCCGGTGCTGTGTCAGCTTAACCCGGCTGTCGGTTTTCCGCGATGTATTTCGCCTCTTCTGCCCTGCGAGGCGTCCCAGCCAAGCATTCCATGCGGGACAGAGTTCCCTGGTGTGGGTGATCGGGCTGAAGGATGGTGTCAGTTTCACTGTGTCGAGTGAGTAGACGAGGGTGTGGCTGCCCCTCATTCCAGCAGACTGGTCAGCTTGATCGGCCTCCCATTGGTCCTTTCGGATGCCCTGGTAATTGACATATTACGCGGGTCTGTTTGGTATCGAATAAGGGCCCGCGAACTGACGAGTCGTCAGCATGCCCGAAACCAGCCTTTTGGTGCTTGTGTAACGGACAGAGACCATTAGCAACTGCACCGGCAGCCGCGGTACTCGAGCTCCGCCGAAGCAAAGTGGTCATTCGCAAGAGCCACGGCCATGGTGCCGGGAACAAGCCGGTGTGTGCCTCCAATGCCGGCGTAAGCAATGACATAACGCCCTGACAAACAAACCGCGTTGCCTGCTGGCTGCTGCCTGGGACTCGGTCGTGATATTCGACTCCAGATGACAAAAGAACCGCATGCTTACTCAACGGGAGGTGCCGCAAGCATTCAGGTAACTCCCTACCGCTCTGTGCAGTAGTACCGCAAAGCTAGTCGCTCTACAAGATCAGAATGTAAGTCGGGCGAATTTTCGATGCTGGCACCGGTGTAAGCTCACCTGATGCTGAATGAAAGGCAACCCGCCTATCCGCCCAGCAAGAAAGCCATCGCTGTCGCCGACGAAGGATCCAAGATGAGTCTTTCTTCGGACTCGAGAAGCTTCCAAACTTGGTCGGCAGCATCAAGCTGCCCAGCAGAATGCCGCGAACAGCAAGCGAATGGCTCCACAAAATACTGCACTCATCGCAGGCCTGCTGGCTGGAGGATTGCGGCGTGGTGAAGGCACCGAAATAAAAGTGAAGGGTATGGGGCCGATCATGTCTCATTCGTCGCAGGATTGTCCAATCAGAATGTCGAGAGCGGGTGCAGCAAAAACACTGTGGTCTTAATCTCGCTCCATCACTATCCAGCCTCTGCAAAATCAAGCCTGTCAAAGTTAGTGTCATCAACGCCGCACATACGCTTCTATCACCAGATCAACACGGCCCACCGGTCCGACTAAAGCCAGGGTGCATCGCGCACCACGCGCTGCGTGAACCTAGGGTCTTCAGGGGCGAGGCAGACTTCGGGCCCTGGAAATCGTATCACGAATCGGTATGGTGGACAATGAGAAATGCGGCATTCTAAACATTTGCTCTGGGTATTATTAGCTTAGAATGCATGCGGACGATCAGGTCTTACGGGTCAACTTGTGTGCCCAAGCCCGCCGCGTTTTCGATGCCCGATCGACTTTTCCATTACCCCCAACGCCGTGAAAGGTCATTCACAAATAATCTGCCGCCCATAACATGCCGAGCATCTCCATTTCATCGTCCCTGGTGAATTCATCGATAGCCCCGGAAACCGCCACCGCCACCACTTCCACCAGCACCGATGCGAGGGCCACGATCACGGCTACGGCTGGGGGAGCGAGTTCGACGGCTCTCGTAACTGTCGTAGCTGTCTCGACTCGGACTCCTTCTGCGGTACTCATTTCCGCGCGCACCTGCGCCGCGTCTCGGGGCTGGCGAGCGAGATCTTGAGTAAGATCTCGAACGGCTTCTGTACCTGCTGCCTCCACCTCGAGATGGAGGTGCACCCGCAGGAGACCGCGAGGGGGAGCGAGAGACGGATCGCGGGCGGTAGGTATCGGATCTAGGCCCCCGACGATTCGGTGGAGGCGAAGCACCGCGACGGGGTCCGTTCTGGCCAAAGGATCCGGGACCCGAGGCCCCGACATGAGGTGCGCCCGACTGCCTGCCGCTGCCTCGACCAGCGGGGGCTGGAAGCCTGGGGTCGTAGCCTGCACCGCGGCGAGCCATGGGAGGCGGCGGGGACAGCTTGCGCCGGGGCAGGACTATGGATACGTTGATAACGGCGCCATCAATCTGAGCCTCGTGCATGTGAGCAATAGCCTCCTCGGCGTCGGCCTCGTGGTCGTAGAGAATATAGGCAGTGCCTCTGTTGGTGCCGTCTGGAGGAATGAAGTGTTAGCCTGGGATGGTATCATGTTTTGGGGTTTGGAGGCTGTCGTGTTCGATGCCTTGGGTTTACCTACATGTTCTATTGATAGGCAGGTCAAGGTCTTTGATAGGACCAAATTGGCTGAAGATCTCCTCAAGATGTCCCTCGTTGATGTTCTTGGTCAAGCGCTCGACGACAATCTGGTGCAAGATGTCTGATTAGTTTTGATTTTTCTCGGGCAGACAGTGCAATTAAATCATACCTTGGTGCTTCTGACAACAGGGCTCTGGCTGCGTCCGCGGCTGCGGCTGCGACTTTCGCTGCGGTATCTCCCGTTGCGTCGCGGGGCTGGCGACTGGGAACGCGACGGCGAACGCGAATCGTAGTCCCGGCGGCGAACTGGCGAACGTGAGGCAGAGCGACCTCTGTCGGAACGCGGAGTCGGCGATCGGGTTCGGGAGCCATGGCGGTCGCCAGGCGATCTGGATCTGGACCTCGAAGCCATTTTGCGAGCTGCGATGGTTTGGTGACGTAGAAGTCTTGCGGTCGTTGCTCGAGAGAGAAGACAGTTTCGTAAGGTGCTGCCGCTGTTCAAGGCAGCGCGACGGCCCCACATCCGCGGTCTGAGCGGGGCACGTGACGAGTGTTGACGCTCACCGAAACTGCAAGCACTACCGAGACAGGTGAGTCTCGGTGAATCATGCTGCTGTTGCTTGTCTCTCGAAACAATACTAATGAGAATCTTGCCAGCTCGAACAGCGGAACCCAATGGTATTCGTGCTTCATGCCCTCTGTTTGAGAAAAGAGCGAATCAATCGGGTACGCCTTCCTTAGTTAGGTTTCGCACTTGCTGTTTGAACAAGCCTATGCACACTCGTCATCGTGAAGGAGTCATAATGAACTAATTCATCCCGCCAAAACCCAACCTACCTACAAATCATCGATGTTCCGCTGTAATCTAGAGGATCACGATGGTTTGATATTAGAGGCTGTAAATTTAACCTGAGCTTTATGCGAATCGTCAGCACCCCAGTTGTTGCTGTTATTCTGGTTTCTTGGCGCCTTCTGTTCTTCGAGGGGTAGTCAAACTTCATGGCCGTTGCGATATCGGCGTCTTCATCATCGTACCTCCCTGTCGTCAAGACATCTGAATAAAGCCTACGAACAGTCATAAACACATTGCAATGTACTCCATAATGGATCCAATATTGTCATATTATTACAGACGTATGGATATACGCTTTCATTGGCATACCGCCTATGAACGTCGACGCCAAGTTGGTGCATCTACGTTTTTGTTTGGACGTTGTCGACTGTTCAAACAAATGCCTGGTTTCAATCCGCTTGTGCTACTAGTAATACATGGCCCAGGACCAATTTATGTGTGCTTTTGCCCCTGACCCTGTCAAACCGACTGTGCCTCGAGGAGATCCCGAACGCCGCTGATGCCTCCTCTCTAAGATCACGCAATAGGTATTAATTGCGACTGTTCCGTATGTTCCGTACATGACAAAAGAAATGCTATGGAGCTTGCTTGACATTTGTTAAGCAGCCCATTCAACCACCTCCAAGGCGCACATGACAAGCACCAAGGTTGACGGAAGGATCCTGGAAAGTCTGTTAGTTGTTGGAGGGTTCAAGATGAAGGAGCAAACATACCAGATGACATAGCTCTGGAACAGGATACGAGACATCACACCCTCGTAAACCTCGTTGATCTGGCAAATCTGTGCTAGTTGCAGAGCACTCGGCGCTCCGGTCAACAGGAAGCAGACGATGACGAAGATCGGGTCGTCCAAGATGCTGACGGGAACATACTTGGCGAAGATGGCCAAGATGGGGGTCATGATGAGAGTTGGCAAGAGCATTCGGCACATGAGCGACGCCACCAGAAGCTTAGTGCCGATCTGGTCTTCCTCGGGATCCCGGAGCTTCTCACTCTTCTGAGTGTTGCGGGCGAGGTTAGCTCCGAGAACCACCAGAATCAAAGGGACGGCAACACCACCGCTCGATTGAACGGCGTCGGTGAAGCTGTTCTTGATGAATGATCCCTCCTCGAAGAAGATCTTCTGCAGCGCGGGGACGGAGGCAACCACAACAGCGCTAAGCATGGCCCACAGAGGAGGGTTCATGAATTCCCACATGAAGTTGTAAAACTTTCCGGAGAATCGGTTGAGGGCGACCAAGATGACTTTGACGGGCTCGGGGAGGCTGTTGAAAAGTCTCGCGAAGAAGCTGGCCGTAGACTTCTTGCTCCTAACGATGGCGTTGTTCATGGCATTCTTAGCGCGGGCAGGGTAACCCTTAACGCCCTCGGGAACGTCGGGTGTATCCGTGTTACGAATGCGAGGGAATGACGATATCTCATCGTCGCTTCCATTGAAAACGGGATGGTTGCCGTTCAGAGGTGCCAGGCCGTTAGTCTTCATAGGCTTCTTGGGGAGGTATTCGTCATCCTCGTCCTCGGTATCGGCCGGGGAAGCTCTCGATCTGCTAGCCACTGGAGTGCGACCGGCGGGCTCGTAGTTGGACAGGTCGCTACTGGAGGGGCTGCGAGACGTGGCTGCGTCGTCTTCGTTATACTCGTTCAAAAGGGGCGCAGTCTCTCTGTCTCCATCATACTGTCCCTCCTCGACCCGCTCGTCTTGGTACTCGGGGTACTTATCCTTCGGAGCGAGCAGAACGTGGTAGCCCCAACTCCAGCGGACCAGCTGACCAAGCTGCTGGAAGATCAACAGGTACAGAATACCACGTGCGCCAACCTCATCATCATTGTCTCCGGGAATCTTGTCCCAATGCAACCCCTTGATCGTCTGGGACAGTGACAGAACCATGGAGATGGGCAGCGAGTTTGAGTTGCCGAAGACTCCCATGGCCGTGACGAAGTTTGAGGCGCGGCGGTTGAAGCCGAACAGACGGGCGACGACAGTAGCCACGAGCCAGGAGACCATGGTCTGGATGACGAAAATGATGGGAATAACGGCAAGGTCGAGCAGCTTGTCGGCGTTGAGCTGCGATGCTAGCTTGGTGAAGACTGCGAATTGTCAGCATGGTAATACGGGCAACAATGCATGCAGAAGATACATACTAAGACAAGGCGTGAAGAGCATGACATTGAGGTTGGCCAAAAACTTCTGCTTCTCGGCATCAAAGTGGCCGAGCCGGGCAATGACATAGCCCGGCAAGCTTACACACACGACCTCGAGAACGGCCTCGAAGACGAGAAGGACCAAGTGGCCCAGGGAGGGGTGGGAATCGTGTGCCTTCTCGAGAGCAAGGAGAGGCATCTCGTATACGTTCTGAGCCATGTTGGCTAGCCGATACGACGCCGGAGACGTCAAATATTGTTGGTCCATGGCGACTGGGGGTTGGTAGAGGACGATAAGTGGATTGGACGTTTGTGGCGGCAACGGGGGACGTCGATAGAAAAGGACGGCGGACCGGAGGGCCGGCGCAAGGTCGTCGTTGCAAGGAGAACGGTCCTCGGCGATGGAGAAGTGCTCTTAGGCTCCTTGAATGGAGGCTTGGCACGGTGCGCGTGGGCCTCTATCGCCAAGCTAGGCGAAGTCTAAGCTGGCAAGCAGATGTTGTGTGTGGTTTCGGGAGGGCAGGCGATGGGACGATGCGCCTGGCAGAGTTTGGGGTATCGCGATTGCAATTGGATATGAGTGTGAGAGCGAAGCTTCGCAGTAAGAGTTTTGGTTCGGTTCGGAGAGGGGTTCTCGGATTATCGGTGGTAGGAATCAGGCCTCCAAAGTAGAGTTCGGCCTTTTCCACAAGTTTGCGACGATGCTTTCATTCTCTGGCGGACAGAGACATTAGGAAAGTAATATTCGGCAACGGGGGAGATTCGGAGATGGGTTCGATAAGGTAAGAGGACCTCAACAGCAGGAGGAGGTGTGGGAGGGAGGAGAATGTATTGGTAGGTAAAGCACGAGGCGAATGGGAAAGATAGGAAGAAGCAGCAGGGAGGGACGAGAACGACCGAGAGCCAGCCACAGACGGAGGGAGGCACGATGATATGGAGGAGGTGGGTAGATTGATAAAGAAAAAAGACGAGGGAGCTAATCCGGTCGCGCAAGACCAGACGGGCTGGGTTGGACACACACAGCCAGCAGGGCAGGTAAGGTAGGTGGGTAGGTAGCGCACTGGACGGACCAGCTCCAGGGATGTTGGCGGCTCCGAGGACCACTCTAGCGACAACTCACAGCGATGCGTCACTGTACAGCCTACAGGAAACACCTCCACGGAGACCTCTTTCTGGACGAGGTGGATGGGATGGGTCGAGTGGAAAAAAGCAGGGGCCTAGACTTCAGACCGTAGCGGTTACGGTTGCGCATCGCGGTGGTTTAGCGAACATCAGCACGCTTCAGTCGGCCACCTAGCGTGACTGCTGGTCAGTGCCGTGTTCCACTGTTTCGAGGTGAGGTAAGGTGCTGTCAGGCTGCAGGCAGGCAGGACAGGGCAGGGCAGAGAGGCAGGGAGGCCCCCCCCCCCTCAACCTTCCAATTGCCTGGAAGTCGAAGCAGGCCCCCAGCAGCCCTGACGGTGGAACACCTCACTGCAGCGCGAGGTGGGCTCGATTCGCCGTTGCGCCGTCTGGAGACAGCTCCCGCTAGAAACGGCTGGCGCCCAATCAGAAGCCCCCGTGGTGGCACGATGACGACCGACGTCGTCTGGTTCAGCAACTGATACCGAGTAGAGGCTGGGTATCCCAGCAGACAAACTCTGCATGCAAGGTACCCCGGCAATACTTGCTGTCTCCGTTTACTGTTGCCTCCCGCGCGGAAATGGAACACAGGGACCGTCACATCCATCCAGTGTCCCGTCGCCGTCACACGAGCACCGTCACTTACACCTCACCCTCACACTCCAACATTATGCTTCGTGCACTGCCATTGCCGTCCCCTCAATCAAGGCATTCTCACCGGTGGCCAAAAAGCAAGACACGACAGCAACATCCCTAGACCGATATGAGGGCTGCTACAGGTCTGTGGCGCTTCTGATTGGGACACACAGCAGGCCAGAAGAAGCGCCGCGCAGCTGATTACTGCCTCTTGGCGACGTGGGCGCAGCGCCGACGCGATATTCCTTGGCATCGACATGGTGAGTCTCATCGAAAGCTGAATGACGGACGCGGACGTGGCCCTCCACAACTCGACCGCTGTCTATCAATTTCCATTTCCACCTCCTATCACGTCCGCCGGCCAAGAAAATCTCCGTCACAGCACTTTACCAGAACCTTGCGCCTTGCTACAATTAACACCTTCGCGGTCCAGTTTTCGCCTCCGTTCGTTTGTGATTCATCCGTTGTCGGAAACTGTTGCACGAAGTGCCCAGTGCACCCGGAGAAAACACTGCTCCCCGACGGTCGCTCCATCTGCGATACTACACCCAGCAACCAGCCTCCTCTACCGTTTTCTCAGGCACACGCTTGTCATCCCACTGCACACATGCACGGCGGAGAGACACACATCCACCCGCCGGACATCTCCCGCAAGGTACGCCGCACGTCAGTTGGCCAGGTCGCATTCGATGGACGGCACAGCGGCACACCTCTGCACTTCCTGACAGTTCCTGGTACTTTATCCGGCCAACCAGCACTCCAAACAACCCGTCCTCCGTTTCTTGATTCTCGACGCCATGAGTCCTCCTTGCCTGTTCCTGTTCCCTGATGCTGTTGATGTGCACCCGTCCGTCCA